TGTGTGTATAAATGACTCTTACTATTTGAACATACAAGGCTCTGAAACATTCAATAACTTGGCTAAGGTCACCCAGCTAGTGACAGAGATGGGATTCCATTCATTCATTGATTGAACAAATCCTCACTGATCACTATGAAACACCAGGCTGTGGGTGTAGCCCAGTGACAAAGTACATATTTAGCAGGTGCAGGGTTCTGGGTTCAACTCCCAACACACACATACAAAAAAAAAAAAAAAAAAAAAAAACCAAGAAAAAGAAGCAACATTCTATGTGCAGAGTTTATACTGGTGAATAAAAAGACAAGTTCACAGGCCGGGGATTTAGCTCAGTGGTTCCGCACCTGCCTTGCAAGCTCAAGGTCCCAAGTTCAATCCCCAGCACCAAAAAAAAAACAACAACAACAACAAAAAAAACGGGGCCTGCTCTTGTAGGATTGCTATTCTAGTGAGAATTAAATCCAGGTCAATCTCATTTCAAAGTCTTTTTTTCCCTACACAATAAAACAATAGTTGTAAAATTAAAAACATTGATTTGAAGCTGGGAACATTTGCCTAGCATATACAAAGTCCAGAATTCATTCCCCTGCACTATTAAAAAAATGATTTGGTAGAAGAGAGGGAGGAAGCCCTGCAACAACACTTTTGAAAACAAGGAGCCCCAACAGAGGCCTCAGCCAGAAGACAATTACCTTGACACACTTCACATTTATTCCTGGACACACAAACTTCTTCCAGAGGAGGATGGCTTTGCTCTCCCCACAAGTTATGGGGTAAGCAATTTCCATGTCCTCATTTGCTTCTATAGTGCTTGCATCTGAAAATGGAAAAAAAAAATCAGTTATTTAATGCACAAGTTTTCCCCAAAGCTCAGATTCCAAATTTGTAATTCTCTGGTTCTCCCGAGGAGCTGACAGATCACTCTTGCTGTTAGAAGTCTGGCAGAACAACTGTGTCTTAGCAAGCTCTCACTGTGTATTAGAGGGGACCGCTTTTATAAACTGTGTAGTGTAGTTCTTAGAATAATCTTGGGCAGCAATAATTGCTTCCTGTGTTTGACACAGAAGTATTTAACCTCAGAAAGATAAGCGACTTCACCAAGGACACACAGGTAAGAAGCGGGAAAGCAGGACTCAAATTCAAACTCAAGTTTATTTCAGTTTCTTCCCACTCACAACCAACACCTATCAGTCCTCACTGACAATTTCCCTAATGACAAGCTTGACCTTGAGGCTCCAATTTTTTTGTGGGATGTGTGTGTGTGTGTGCGCGCACGCACGCACATGCTAGGGATCAAAGCCAGGACCTCACACATTCTAGGCAACAACTCTATCTTTGTGAAATATTTATAATAAAACAATCTTTTCAGGCCAAGTGTGGAGGTCTGTGAGGCCAGCCTGAAATCCAAAGTGAGACCCTGTCTCACAAAACAAAACAAAAACTTTTCAGCTACCCTAGCAAATTGATATTAAACAGTCCTGGAAGGCACACTAGATGGGGGAAGGCAAAAGGCACCAAAGGCAAGAAATCTCAGGCTGGTGGTGTAGCTCAGTAGTAGACTGCTTGCCCACCATGTGCAAGGCCTTAGGCTCTATCCCTAGCACCAAAAAAAAAAAAAAGAGAGAGAGAAATTTCAACCAAAGAAACTAAGCAACAAAGACTTACCAATTCCTTCTTCAATTTTGTGTATTGTGTGAGTTTCTACTGCTACAACTGCTGTGCTGTTCTCCGACCCAGGTTCATAAATCCTGTTGTAAAAGTGTCCATCGATAAACAAACTACATGAATCATGAAAAAAGTAATATTCACAACATGGGGTTAAGAAATTTGCTTTAATCTATCTCAAAAGGAATAAATAAATAAACACTTTAAAGCTGGACATGGTGGCCCGTGCCTTAATCCCAGCACTAGGGAGGCTGAGGCAGGCAATCACTGCAAGTTTGAGGCCAGCCTGCACTACAAAGTGAGTTGAAAGCCAGCCTGAAAAACATAGTGAGACCCTGTCACTTAAAACAAACAATAAACATATACATACATATATTTTAGAAATCTACATTAATGTTTTGACTAGTTTCTCATATGTACGTATGGATGTATTTTTGTGGTACTGGGGATTGAACCATGGATCTTTGTATTGAGCTACATCCCCAGCCCTTTTTTATTTTGAGACAGCATCTTGCTAAGTTACTCAGGCAGAACTCAACTCGAAATCCTCCTGCCTCAGCCTCCTAGAGTACTGAGATTACAGGCATACACCACCACTCCTGGGTATTTCAACATCTTTTAAGGCATCATAACCAAATTATTTGAATCTTTTTGTTTGTTTTTTGAGACAGGGTCTCACTATGTAGTTGAGACTGACCTGGAACTCACTATGTAGTCCAGGCTGGTCTCGAACTCACAGCAATCCTCCTGTCTTAGCCTCTAAATGCTGAGATTACAGGTGTGTACCACCATGCCCGGCCCATAACCAAATTATTGATATGAACAAAGTCTACTAGGAAAAAATAAGAGACACTATACCCACATTAATCAACAGTAAGCAAAAGTACCACTTAATGGAAGGTTATATAATACAGAACACCTTAAAATGTCTCTACTTTAATGGGCTCAGATAATTTAGTGTGATATAGTGGTGTCCTCTCTTTAATTTCTATAATAGAACTTATGTGTTAATTCTTGTACCTTGTTATTTGAAAGCATTGCCTAAATAATCTTTGCATTGATGACATCTACCTCCCTGCTGACACCTCAAGCACAGACATCTCTTCTGAGAGCATTGAATCCTAACCATTAGACCACCAGGAGCATCTGGACCTCTCTTGAATGTCACACCAGGACACAGCTAACTGTTGTGTAAATAAATACACCCAGGGGCTGGGGATTTAGCTCAGTGGTGCCACAGCCTGCCTTGAAAGTGCAAGGTCCTGAGTTTGAACCCTGCTACCAAAAAATAAATAAATAAAAATATAAATAAAGACACCCAGATGTTCCATGAGACTATTAAATTCATTATATCTAAAATAATTAAATTATTATCTTTGGAATTAAAAAAAAATTTTGGCACTGGGGATCAAACTTGGGACCTTACATTTGCAAGGCAGATGGCGGAACCACTGAGCTAAATCCCCAGCCCCTATCATTAGAATTAAACAAGAAGGAGAGTAGGAAAGAAGAGGGGAAGGGAGGACTGGAGGGAATGAGGGAGAGAACAAAGGAAGGAAAAAAAAAAGTGAAATTATGGCTATACTTTAAAGCCAATCTGCAGTTAATACAAAAGTATCACTTTATACAAAAAGTATCACCTTATACAATGTGTCGGGTTCTATGTATACACATGGGGAGACAGTTTTCAAACAGCCTACTGTTGCTCTGTAGTTCAGGCTGGCCTCAAACTCAGGTGATCCTCCTGCCTCAGCCTGTGAGTGCTGGGATCATAGGTGTGTGCCACCACACCCAGCCAGACAGTGTACTTTTGCTGCCTAATGTATTCCTGCAAGTATGTACATAATGAATACCTGAAAAAGTATAAAATGTCATATATACAAAAGCTAAAAAGACACAGGGAGTTCTGTATAAAACTAAACATTTACATAAAATCTCTAACTTCTTGCCTTTTCTTTTGTTTTTTTTTTTGGTACCGGGGATTGAACCCGGGTCCTTGTGCTTGCGAGGCAGGCAGTAAACCACTGAGCTAAATCCCCAGCCTTTCTTGCCTTTTTTATAATCTTCAATACATGCCCAGAATTTTACTTATGTTCTTTTTTTTTTTCACAGTACCAGGGATCAAACTCAGAACCTTGCACTTGTAAAGCAGGTGTTGGCACCAATGAGCTAAATCCCTGACTAAACTTTTTTTGTTGTTGTTTTCTGGTGTTTTGTTTTTTGTTTGTTTGTTTGTTTTTGGTATCTGGGATCGAACTCAGGACCCTGCGCTTGTGAGGCAGGTGGCAGAATCACTGAGCTAAATCCCTGGCCCGTTACCCATGTTCTTTGAGTGTTTCTTTCCTTCCCACTTGAACCCAAAGCCATTCAGGTTAAGCATGACCATGGCTCAATACTCAAGTATATGAAACTTATGAGATTAACCCTAACCCTAAGACTATGCAACTTGTAACACTGCTTTTGTTCCCCACTCATTTTCATAAAATGAGGCTAAAATGAAATAAAATATTCAAATAATTAGATAATACAACTAGATAAATCTACTGAGCGTTAAATTGGCTGGGCATAGTGGTACATGTCTATAATCCCAGCACTCTGGGAGGCTCAAGCTAACAGATGGCAAGCTTGGGCCCAACCTGGGCAACTCAGAGACTTGATGAGACTCCCATCTCCAAATAAAATATAAAAAAGCAGTGGTGATGTAGCTCAGCGTGAAGATTATAGGTTCAATCCTTATCAGTATAAAAACAAAAAGGCACTGGGCTGGGGATTTAGCTCAGTGGTGCCACCACCTGCCTTGCAAGCACAAGATCCTGAGTTCGATCCCTAGTACAGAAAAAAAAAAAGGCACTATCTCATAATCAGTAGCCCACATAGTAAATTCAGAGCAAATGGTGGCTTGAGGGATAAAATCTGCATTGGAAAAAAGATGCTTAATATCTAAATATAACATAAAAGAAGGAATTAGAGCAGGGCATAGTGCTGCATGGCTATAATCTCTTGCAGGTGGGGCTAGGGCAGGAAGATTGAAAGTCTGAGCCCAGCCTAGGCAGCTTAGCAATTTAACAAGACCCATCTCAAAGGAAAAAGTACTGGGGATGTAGCTCAGTGTGAACACCTTGGGTTCAATCCACAGTAATACACACACGCACATGTGAAAACATACCTCCTAATGAGCTAGGAATGTAGCTGAGTGGTAAAGTGCTTGCCTACTATGGGCCAGGCCCAGGGTTGGACTCCCAGTGTTGAAAAAAACTAAGACTACAAACAGCATAAACGTTTTTTCTTTTTCTACTAGGGACAGAACAAGTGTCAATTGGAACACTTAAAAAAAAAAAGAACACTTTCAGAAAGACAGACGTGATGGTGCACACCTGCAATCCCAGCACTTGGGGAGGCTGAGGCAGGAAGACTGCAAATTCCAGCACAGCCTCTGGAAGCAAAAACTAAAAAACAGCTGGAAATACAACTCAGTCGAAAAACTCTGGGTTTAGTGTCTAGTACCAGGAAAGGAAGAATGGAGAAAGAAGGGAGGAAGGGAGGGAGGGAAGGAAAAAAACAAAGAAAGAAAAAAGGACTCCATGAAATAAGGCTGCCAGTCTATAGCCACACCACCCTGAACACGCCCAATTTTGTCTGATCTTAGAAGCTAAGCAGGGTCAGGCCTGGTTAGGACTTGGATGGGAAGAAAATAAGGCTGCAAATAACCAGAGAATTTATCCTTTAATGTAATTCTTCCTTATATACAGAAAGGTAATTGCAAGTGTGTGTATATGTGGCTGGAGATTTAGCTCAGTGGCGCTGCACTGCCTCACAAGTGAAAGGGCCCGAGTTAGATCCCCAGTACAAAAAAAAAAAAAAAAAAAAAAAAAAAAAATTCCACTAGGGGCAGTGGTGCCCACCTATAATCCCAGGTTTCAGGAGGCTGAGCAGGAGGATTGCTGAGTTTGAGGCCAGCCTGAACTACATGGTGAGACTTTATCTCAAAAAAGAGAGAGAGAGAGAGGAAGGAAGGAAGGAAGGAAATAAATGATTTAAATCAATGTGGTCTAACATAGTGGTAGAGTGCTTGCTTAGCATTTGAAGCCCTGGGTTCCATCCTTCTACAAAAAATAAAGAAACAGGACCAGGAATGTAGCTTAGTGGCATTGTACCTGCCTGGCAAGTGCAAGGTCCTGAGTTCTATCACTGGTACCACAAAAACAAAGCAACAACAATAAAAATAAAAATAAATAAATAAACATATTTTAGGGCCAGGGATTCAGCTCAGTGATTCTGCCACCTGCCTCACGAGCACAAGGACACACGTTTGATCCCTCGTACCAAAAACAAGAACAAATTTTAAATCACTTTACCAATTGCTTCTCAGCCTTTTGGCTAAGATCAAATGTTAAATTGCTTCACCAGTCTTATGTCAGAAATTGTTTATACTTTTATATTAGGCCTGGAGTGTAGCTCATGGTAGAGTATATGCTTAGCAGGCATAAGGCCCTAAGTTTAATCCCCAGCACAAAAAAAAGAAATTGTTTACCTCAATTTTCCCTTACAGATTTATCATATATCCTTCATATTTAACAATATTCCAAATGTCAGGGGTGGAGGGGAAGGGGAAAAATATAATTGAGATGTGTGATGTACATGTACCAATTCACCACAATGAATGCAATCATTATGTTGTGCAAACATCAAAATTTAAAAATATCAACAAGGGCCAGGGATTAGCTCAGTGGTTTACAACGGCAAGCGTAAGGTCCCAAGTTCAATCCCCAGTACTGAAAAAAAAAAGTTTATAAATAGTTACATTAAAACTAAAATATTCTTATCTTTTGAGATATATACTAATGTATAATGTTTGCTTCAAAAACAAAAAATCAGAAGTAGGAAGACACAGAGATGAAATATGACTGACCATGTGTTGACACATTTTTTTTTAATATTCAACATATTTTATTGAAACATTTTTAGGTTGATAAAATATCACCATAATGTCCTGTGGACAAATGTTAAAAGAGGAGGTTCAGAGCTGGGGATTTAGCTCAGTGGTTCCACTGCCTGCCTCGCAAGCACAAGGACTGGAGTTCGATCCCCGGTATCAAAAAAAAAAAAAAAATGGGGAGGTTCGTTATTTTTTTTTAATATTCAACATATTTTATTGAAACATTTTTAGGTTGATAAAATATCACCATAATGTCCTGTGGACAAATGTTAAAAGAGGAGGTTCAGAGCTGGGGATTTAGCTCAGTGGTTCCACTGCCTGCCTCGCAAGCACAAGGACTGGAGTTCGATCCCCGGTATCAAAAAAAAAAAAAAAATGTGGAGGTTCGTTATAGTATATAAATTTGTATGAATACTTGAAATTTGACACACTAAAAAAGTTTTAGCATTCATTCATTCATTTATTTTTGTAGTACCAGAATTCAACCCGGGGCTCACACATGCTAGGCCAGCCCTTTTTTATTATTTATTTATTCACAGGGTCTCCCTATGTATTTCAGCTTTGCTTGCTTTGAACTTATGTAGCCAAGCTGGCCTTCAACCTGTGACAATCCTCCTGCCTCAGCATCCCGAGTGCAGGAATTACAAGCATGTACCACCAGGCCCAGATTTTTTATTTTATTCTGAGATATGGTCTTGATAAATTCCCCAGGTTTGCCTGCAACTTTCTTTTTTGTTGTTGTTTTGTTTTGTTTTTCATTTTTTGAAACAAGGTTTTGCTCTGTAGCCCAGACTGGCCTGACTACTTAGCCTAGCCTGGCCTAAACTTGTGGCAGTCCTCCTGCCTCAGCTTCCTGAATGCTGGAATTACAGGCATGCACCAGTATGATTGACTGGCATTCTGTTTTTTAAATTCACACAGCTGCTACTAAACTATACCCTCAGCACTATTCTAAATAGTCTTTAAATTTTGTCAAAAGAATCAAATGGGAGCATAGCTCAGTGGTAGAATTTGCACATAACATGCAAAAGGCCTTTAGTTTAATCTCTAGGGTAGAAAAAAATTTACTAAGAGAAATGAACTCTTTCTCCAAAAATGTATGAGACATGATACATTACTTAGATGAGGATCATATTATGTGTCTGCCCAGGAACACTGCTACTACTATGAAGAATCTTCTACATAGTCCCAAAAGCAACAGAACTACTCCTCCTCTCTGCAAATCTATTTATTTATTCTTTAAGATCCCTTTTTAAATTTTCTCTCTCAGGATTGATAATACAGCTCAATGGTGCATTCACCTGCCATGCACATGGTCTAGGTTTGTTCTCTAGCACCAAAAAAATAAACAGGACCAGGCATGGTAGTGCATACCTGTAATCCCAGCACTAAAGAGGCTGAGGCAGGAGGATTCCAGCCTGGGCTACATAGTGAGTTCAAGGCCAGCCTGAATTCCATAGTGGGACCTTGTCTCAAAAAGCAATTAAACAGGGCCAGGGATTTAGCTCAGTGGTTCTGCCCCAAGTTCGATCCCTTGTACAAAAAAAAAAAAAAAAAAAGTAATTAAACAAAAGATTTTTATCTCAATTTTCAAATTCACAGTGATCTTCTGAACTCCAAAGGACTTCACAACTATGCCAACTCAGCACTTCTTAGATTCAGCCATGGAACTAATTGCTTTATTTATGTATACGTAGTTTTGGTTTTTATAACTAGACTGTAAACCCCACAGTGATGAGAACCTTTTGCTATATTCCTTCCAACACCTTCATAACACAAAGTGCATGTGCGCGCTCGCGCGCGCGTGTGTGTGTGTGTGTGTGTGTGTGTGTCTTTTTGGTAACAGGAAGGATTAAACCCAGGGCATTTGCCCTGAGCTACAGCCCTTTTGAAATTTATTTTGAGACAGGGTCTCACGAAGTTACTAAGCTGCCCAGGTTGATTTATGATACTTTTGCCTCTGCCTCCAAGAGTGCTAGGATTATAGGTATGCACCAACATACATATATTTTTATGTATATTTTTTGATAGACTATGCTTGATAATTTGGCCACCCATGAGTTAAGAGAACTACAGTAGAAGTTTTTGGTTTTTTGTATATTTATTAATTTTAGAAATACTTTTGTAGTTGCCTTGCCCAATCTCTTCTCATTATATCTACACTGCCTTTGGGAAACTTAGGCTGAGGTTCTGTGCTAAATAGTGTGTGCAATTAAGATGTAATAGCCAGACATAATGGCATACTCCTGTAATCCTAGCACTTGGGGAAGCTGAGGCAGGAGGATCACCTTAGCTACATAGGGAGTTCCATGGACAGTCTGAACTGCCTAAGGCGACCCTGTCTCAAAAAAAAAAAAAAAAAAAAAAAGCTAACTTGCTGTTTTGCTACTTCCCTGCTTGCTGCCTTCTGCTGGCCATGAACTGTTTCTCCTCTGCCACACACTGCCTGGCCTTGGAGCCCACCAACTATGAACTGAAACCTCTGCAAACTGTGAGCTACAGTAAACCTTTCCTCCTTAAAAAAAAAAAAAAAAGAAAGAAAAAAGATGTGAAAGCCAGGTAACTTATCCTAAGGAGCTCGCAGTGGGGAACAGGAGGGATACAAGGAAATAAATAACTGCTATAGTAAGCAGTAAAATGACTAGCACACAATACATTATAGAGACAAAAACTGCCATCTCTGACTGATGCTGAATGTTCTATTGTGCTAAGCAATCATAAAATTAAAATTTCCCCACCATTTAAACCTAAAATTTTTCAAAACACCCAAAACTCTAACACTTACCCCTGCTGCACGGGCTGTAACTGCAAGATCACTTGGGTTTTGGTGTCTTCAGGGTTCTCCCCTTCATTCCCTTCAGTGGGTACCACGACGACATCTCCCACTGGGACACTCACTTCTGCATTAGCCATCTTTCACATGAAGTCAGGTGGCTAGGGCTGCTGCCAGAAACAAGGAGGACAAGTAACTCCATTTGGTTGGAAAGATGGCAACTGTAGGCCAGGAATGTCAGAGTAATAACTACTGATTCCAAGAGGACCCTGAAGATCATGGCCCTCGGACAAGGATGGGAACTGTGCTTTAATCTTGTCAGAAAAGCTTCTGCTATCATACGTCTTCTTGTATCTGTAATTCATGCCAGACCTGGCTCTGCCCACTCCTGAGAACCTACTGTGCGCACCTCTTCTCAACTCTGAGTTTAGTAGCTTGGAAGCAATAATGCTCAGAGCATACATACCACAGAAACTAACCAGCACCACAAATCAGGACTTTTGTCTTCTTTTTTCTGGAGAACTGGTTTAGAGCACACCACTAGTTTTACCCAAACAGTAAGGTCCTCGGAGGGTAAGGATCTTATGTATTTTTGTTGCAACTAGCCATTATACCTCATCACGTACAAGGCTTTTCTTTATGAATATCTTAGTTACCTACTGACTAGCTGAACTGAGCTCCGTGGAAAGGGGAAGATGACTTGCATTGCATAGTTCTTTGATTTTTTTCCCCCCAATACTGCAGACTGAACAAAGACCTTGCACCCGGAGCCATAGCCAGAGTCTCGATAAGTCATCCAGGGCTGGTCTTGAACTTGTGACCCTTCTGCCTCAGCCTCCCAGAGAACTGGGATTACAGGCATGCTCAACACAGCTTGATTTGAGGAACTTAATATCTTTTTGCCTCAGCTTGAATAGAGAGATGACCTCACTTGACACTTCCCTTCCAAAGTCACTGAGGAATCCAATATCCAGCACCACATGCTCCTTGATTTTAAAGTATGTAACTCAAGCCACTGTTTAATCTTTTTTTTTTTTTTAAGGTACTGGAGGATTAAACACATGGCCTCCTGCACACTAGGCAAAATTTTGTACCACAAGCTACCTCCCTTGTCCCAACCTAAATAAATACTCAGAAAGTCCCTAAATATTCTGCAGTTGTTAGTCTGCACAGTTGAAGAGTCATTTAAACCTAGCATGGTGGCACATGCCTGTAATCCCAGCACTCAGGAGCCTGAGGCAAGAGGATTGCTGCACATTCGAGGTCAGCCTAGGTTACATAGTGAGCTCAAGGCCAGCCTAGGTTACATAGTGACTTCGAGGCCAGCCTGGGCTTTGTAGGGAGACCCTGTCTCAAATAAAAAAAAAAAAAAAAAAAAAAAAAAAAAAAAAAAAAAAAAAAAAA